TCAAACAGACATTTTTAACAATATGTTATTATAACAAACATCTTTAACAATATGCTAGTACAAACAGACATCTTAAACCATATTTTTTTACTTCAAACAGACATCTTTACCAAAACTTTATTCAAACAGATACGACCATACGTTATTAACAGATATCTTTAAATATGCGTTATCACAATAGAAATCTTTGATAAAACGTTATTACAAACAGACATCTTTAACAAAGCCTTATTACAAACAGACATCTTTAACAATTTGATATTACAGACATCTTCAACAATATGTTGTTACGAACACACATATTTAAAAACACATTATTAACAGACATTTTTAAACTCCATGTTATTACAACCAGTCATCTTTTACATTACAATATTATAAATAGACATATGTCACTATAAGTTATTATAAATAGACATTTTTAACAACATGTTACTACAAACATACATCTTTAACAATATATTATTACAAACAAACATCTTTAACAATATATTATTACAAACAAACATCTTAAACAATATATTATTTCAAACAAACATATTTAAACAGGCATATGTCACTATACGTTATTATAAACAAACATTGTTAACATTATGTTACTACAAACAGACATATTTAAAGATATGTTATTACAAACATACATCTTTAACAATAGGTTATTACAAACAGACATATTTAACAATACTTTATCACAAACAGACATCTTTAAGAATACGCTATTACAAACAAACATCTTTAACAATACTCTATTACAAACAGACATCTTTAAAAATATATCATTACAAACAGACATCTTTAACATTATGTTATTTTAAACAGATATAATTAACAATATATTTTTACAAACAGACATCTTTAACAATATGTTATTTTTAAACAGACATTTTCAACGATATGCTATTACAAACAGACATATTTAACAATATATTATTACAAACAGACATATTTAACAATACATTATTACAAACAGACATCTTTAACATTATGTTATTTTAAACAGACTTATTTAACAATATATTTTTACAAACAGACATCTTTAACAATATGTTATTTTAAACAGACATTTTCAACAATATGTCATTACAAACAGACATCTTAAAAAATATATCATTACAAACAGACATCTTTAACATTATGTTATTTTAAACAGATATAATTAACAATATATTTTTACAAACAGACATCTTTAACAATATGTTATTTTTAAACAGACATTTTCAACTATATGCTATTACAAACAGACATATTTAACAATATATTATTACAAACAGACATATTTAACAATACATTATTACAAACAGACATCTTTAACATTATGTTATTTTAAACAGACTTATTTAACAATATATTTTTACAAACAGACATCTTTAACAATATGTTATTTTGAACAGACATTTTCAACAATATGTCATTACAAACAGACATCTTTAAAAATATATCATTACAAACAGACATCTTTAACATTATGTTATTTTAAACAGATATAATTAACAATATATTTTTACAAACAGACATCTTTAACAATATGTTATTTTTAAACAGACATTTTCAACGATATGCTATTACAAACAGAATATATTTAACAATATATTATTACAAACAGACATATTTAACAATACATTATTACAAACAGACATCTTTAACATTATGTTATTTTAAACAGACATATTTAACAATATATTTTTACAAACAGACATCTTTACCAATATGTTATTTTAAACAGACATTTTCAACAATATGTTATCATAAACAGACATCTTTTACAATATGTTATTATAAACAGACATATTTAACAATATGTCATTACAAACATACATCTTTAACAATATATT